CATTTACAGAAGCACGCCATCAAAAAGAAACCCCAGATGTTTCTTCCATCATTTGGGTGCAATGCTCTTTTAATCCTTGAGTACGATAGCATCTGTACGAGAGGTAAATACATATGTCTGGCACCGGCAGAAGTTCCTGAGCCTGGGAGAACAAAACAACACACACCCCACATCTACTTTTCAGATGCCCAGAAAGAACGAGACTGTAATCCAGATCAAAATTTTTGTTCTCTGAGAGTGAGAAAGAAAGTGCCAGGCTGTGATCTCAGTCACGCTGGGTGCATCTGAAATAGCTTCCCCGAAGGCTGCGCTCCTTCAGCTGAGCGGCAGAACCAAGAGCAGGCTGGGGACGGGGCTTCGGTGTCTATTGGAAAGCTTTGCTTCTGTCTCAGGAGGGGCACTCTGCAAAAGCATCAGCCAGGTTCTCCTGTGATTGCTTTTCTATCCCAGTAACACCAGGCATCACTGGAGAACCAGGAGTCAGTGCATGATGTCTTCTCCGGGTTACACGTCTTCACGTTTGCTGGCCTGTCTCGCATTTCCTGCTCTCCTTCCATTTTTCGTACTGTCCCGTGGTGTTTGCTCTTGGTGGGACTGCACGCTTACCCCCACAGCTTTCCACCCCGGTGGAGGCTGTTGTCTGCTGACAGCTGTTACCTCTTCCCAGCATCCCTCGTGTGCTGAGGCCTTGTTGTTGGAAGCCCTAGGGAAGGCAAAATATACTGTTGAAAAACCCTTTGATTTTCTGCCAAAATGCCATTTAGAGAATGAATGGCTGGGATTTTTTGTTCTTCACCTGACTGCTGGCCTTGGAAGAGGTCCTCAGCAGCTGCCTGGACGATGATGTTGGTCCCAGTAATATTGATGGTATAGCTGTAACTCTTCTCCACATGCTTTTCTTTCATCTAATGAACCTTATTCCAGTATGTGCTATCTATCTAAAGGAGCTTTTACAGGACCGCAGCACAGGTAAAACCGATCCTTGTGTGAGACAAGGAGGTGAACATCCAGCCCTGTTTTCTGCTGTGATTATTAGTACAGTAGCTGCGTGTCAAATCTTCCCCAACTTTATTTTCGTTAGTTTTGCTATCACCTAGTTGACTGATTTTGAAGTAATTTATTCTACCTCACTAATACTTTGGCTTACCCCCCTGTTCCTGGGTGCAGTGGGACAGCAGGGGTCTGTTCCAGCTGCGAGTCCAAAAGCACTGCAGAAGCAAAGTCGAACTCTTTCGAGGAGGTAGGATTTTGCAGGAATCGTAAATCATCTTGCTTCTTAATAAGTAGCAGCAAAACCTGGGGCAAATGCTGGGCTGACTTATTCCTGAGCAGGCCAACAAGGTCTTCGGGAGTCCTCAAGGCAAATGTTATTGCAGCTTTCAGTCCAGCAGTCTGAAGTTTTCTACTTCCCCAACTGCCAAAGCAGGAAACCAAAAAAGCAATATAGTTTGAAAAGGCATTTTATGTTTTACTCCAATTAGATTCCAATTCAGAATCCAATAATTTGTCCTATTAGTATGCTATTAATATGCTACATTTTCATTTGTATTATTACCACAGTGCTTGATTTATTTTATTTTAAATTTTGCTTTAGACATTCTTGTGAAATAAAGAAGAAAAATGGCTGTATGTTCCTTCCAGAAAGAAATATGAATGGCTGTATTGTTGAAGAGAGGTTTCTTGCAATACTAGGATTAATATATTGGTCATGTGATGCTATGGATTTAATAGTATTCACATTCATAAAGGCCTATCTGGGTTACTGGAGGAGGAGAACCGCTTGATTTCTGTTCCCTTTCTGAAACTTTGGCCACTCTTAAGCAGTGAAGCAGACCAAATTACAATAAAATTGAAGAGGCTTTTCAGAAGTATAGCCAGAGGGTCAATGTTTCATGATGCTGATACAAGTACCTGATGCTCTTTGGGAATGAGTGAGCTGATGTAAAATATGGTTGCTGGAAAGCACATCTATTTTTGTTCTCCTTGGATTTTGTCTTTTTACTTCTTGAAGAACTACGTGATTGTTATTTTACAAGAACAGTGAGTTGCATCATGATTTTTTCCAAGATACCTGGTTCTTTCTCTCTCTGAGACAAAGATTTTCCCACTGACTTGTACATAAATCATTGTTTTGGGGTTTTTTATTGTTTTTGGAGGTCACAGTAGTGTGACTTGGGGCCATCATGAAGGATGGGTGGATTTTGGCAGTTGTTTCTGTTTGTAACAGCTTAAGTGTGGTGCAAACAGGCACTTACAGTGAGTGGGACCTACAGCAGTAGGCATGCAACTTTTTAAAGACCTGATGGATACATGAGACAAGATTTGAGGCTGTTTGAAATTAGTGACAAAACTGTGCTTGGGTTTAAAGTAGCCAGGAACAGCCTGTGATAACCCTGGCGGTGGCTGGAGCTCAGGGTGAGAGCGCTGTCTGGTACAGCCTGTGGCCATGCAGCCTCTTCCAGTCCGCCCACCTGGAGGTTGCCCAGGACTGAAGAGCGGGAGAGGTGTTGCAATTTCTTGATGTCTTAGAGATCAGGATTTTCCAGCACTGTACTCCAGTGCCCAAGAGCAGGAAAGCACCCAGAGATACCACACCACGGATCTAGCCTAAAAATCTCTGAAGTGGTTTTGCCTAACGTTCCTTCAGCTTTAACAGGCCTTGTTGTAATTGCATTTGGGAGAAGAGTTTCTGGAGTGAGTTTGCTGCTTTGTGCTTTAGCTGAAAGCTCCTCTTGTAATTGCTGACTTCAGGTTCTTTCCTAATGATCAAATACTACTATTTCCTCCTCTTGTAGCAGAGGACTTAAAATATGACTCATCTTTTCGTATTGATATGCAGAAAGCAAAGCGTTGGCATGGGAAGAATGAGCCCAAAATAAACCAAGAGTACCATGCAAAAATCACTCCTGCTAAATTTAATTGCTTCGATGTATGAGTCACACTAATACTACCCGATCTTTCTTTTCTGTACGTGGCACTTCACTGATGAAATATTTCAATATGTAATAAAATGGAGCATAATGCACCTCTGTCTAATGAGGTGTTGGAAAGCTGTCAGTTTTGTAAGATGCTGCAGTAACTGCGATAGTATTCGTTGGGACCCTGGATTGATCCATCTCTATCGTCACATACTTGATTTCAGAGTTACATTAAACCGCGCAGCAGCCAGGTGAGAGCTGCTTCAGCTGAGCAGCCTGGAATGACTATGTTAACGGCATTAGAAAGTGGATGGATTCCAGCCCACCCTCTCTGGTTTACTGTAAAGATTGCTGTGTCAATATGATGAATATAAACAAGTAGCCTTGGAAGAGAATGAAAATTACTTGCTCTTCTCTGCCAGCTACAGTTTTGGTCTTCTAACCTGTCATAGTAAACTACATGGTTTGTAAAGTTACGTGTTTGGCATCTGAGTGCTGATCCAGGGCTCACTGTGTTTTTGGTGGAACCCTGTTTTGTGTAAACATGGTTTTAAGTAAAATCAAAGTGACAGGCTCAAGGCGCCACTTGTAAGTGCTGGGTGGGACTCTGAAATGAAGTTCTGTTTTTGCTTTAAGCAGATAGTGCTTATTTTTCTCCTAATTGCCCTAGAAGAGATTATCAATCCAGAATAATTAGCCAAATACTTCTGTGCGATTTATACAACCTTAGCTACAATGGGCAGATGACAAAACTAGGGCCAAAATCCAACACTGAGGTCTACAGTTTGGCTCTGTAGTGGGCGAGGTAGCACATATTGATCAAATGTGTGTTAACGTGCTTTGCAGGTTAACATAAATTGAATGGTGTGATTGTTACTAGGTCAGAACACGAATGCAGTAGTCTCGGCTTCCTCTGTGTGCGCTTTCACAGCACAAAGATGTGAGCGGGGCTGTAGACTCTCCCGACATTCTTTACATTCCCTTTTGCAAGTAATGCTACTCTGCCTCCTTCTTGCAGAGGTCATGTCAAAATACGTTTAGTTCTGCAAGGAGTAAATAGTATTTTTAAGACCTGATTTATCATTAAATAAATATTGTTAAAGTGTAGGTAGCTTGGCTCTGCTCTTGCTCATAGTAGGGTTATGGTAAGGTCACTCTGTCAGTATCAGTATTTCCTATTTTATGTATTTTTAAAGTACAGTAGGACCAAGGCCAGCATTTTCTCAGGTACGCTTTCATGCAAGGTGTCTGCAAGTACGCACATCCCATTTGACAGTTTGATTAGCACTGCTGGCACAGAAGACTATGCCATGCCCTTTTGCTCCTTTGGTACCCAAAGCAGTGTGATATCCTTGTGTTTGAGCCTGACTTTGTGGTGACTGGATGCTAGAAGGATGCTAACGTGGATCCCTTTTGCAGCGTCAGACTCCAGAAGATGCTCTGCAGCTGCGAAGGAAGACAAGCCAGTCTCTTGTTTAGTAGTGCCTGTGTGAAGAATCTGTATCTTCAGTGCCTTTTAGAGTTTCCGTAACAGAAAGAGTTCATAAGAGCTGCTGCTTTGTGGTGCAAATAGTTGATTTTTGCAGTAGCTCAAAGGAGGTTATATTCTGTGTAAGACTTTCCTGATACCACTAGCTGTCAGAGTACTGATAAGGCACGAGGGAGAATTTGGGCTTTTATATAACCAAATTCAGAATGGGTTCTTCTGTTCAACAGAAGGATGGTAGCCTTACCCAAATGTCAAAGGCACATTATCTAACATTAGCTAGTACTTTTCATTTAAGATGTTAGTAATATAGTGAAGATTCATTGAAAGTTCAGGGCATTATCTTTTAAAAAAAGAAACATGGATAGAAAATTAGTGTTTGGGACACCTTAATTAAAACCTTGTTAATAATGAGGGTTTAATAACTTGGGAAGGGTGGAAAGCCTGAACCTGCCTGCCTGTCTGAGGTTCCTGGTCTGCTCAGTGATAGTTTCGTGGACTCCTGTTCATGTTTCACTTGTTTGCCATTTTATTAGGATATACAGAAACGTCATAAAAACTGTACGGGTTAGGTTTGTTTGTTTGCATCATTTTCAATGGAAACTAATACGTTCATTTGTATGCAGGTATCAAACTGGTTTGCCAATGCAAGACGTCGCCTGAAGAATACTGTCAGGCAACCAGATCTTAGCTGGGCTTTACGAATAAAACTGTACAACAAATACGTTCAAGGAAATGCTGAACGACTCAGCGTGAGCAGCGACGACTCATGCTCTGAAGGTTTGTTGATGCGCTTTTTATCAGTCTTTAACCAATTAAAATGTATTTATAAAGTATCAGATACCCTAAGTTAGCTCTGGTTTGTCACAAAATGCCCTCGGTAGATCTGCCTTTACTTTTTCTTAATTCAGTGCCAGTTTTGTCTCCCAACTACTGTGCAGCCTTGCGAAGTGGGACTGTGTAGGTTAATCGGGGTGACAGTCTGGTTGCATGTTATTTGCCTGTTTCACATAACATTGTTACTAGAAAGATAATTGTTAGTTCATTAGATTCTACAAGCCTATTTCTTTAATCTACATTAAAGGAAAAAATTGATTACATTTGTTGGTTTAAGGAAATGAGAAATCTCTTGTCTGCTACTTGCCTTGATGGAAGGACTATAGCAATGTCACATAATTAACAAGAGAATGCAATTAACAAGACAATCTGATGAACTTCAGTGGGGTTTATTATATGGTGATCTGAATATTCTTGTTACTTATTTCATGTGTTTTACCAGCAAACGTTTTCCTTAGAAGGTGCACTGGAATTCTCTTTGTTATCCAAATTAACAAATGTAAGAATTTTTTAATTGCCACCCTATATTTTTTAATAGAACATTTGTATTAATTATGTCTGTGGGTGCTTTTTTTAGTCGTTTTTGATATGGAGATACATTGACAGGAATAAATGCTGCAGAACATTGTCAGAAATGTGTATGTGAATTTTTAGAAGAATGTGCTTCAATTTGTACTCAGTTTCAGTTCTCTTTGTTCTGATTTCAATTTGTATTCACGTTGCTTTGCACTGCCCTTTAAAAGATTGGTTGCAGGACAATTAAAAGAGTACAGTTTAAGCAAGTAAGCTTAAGTATGTCATAGTACTCAGGAGAATAAAATTTAAAGTTATCATAGTAAGAAGTCAGCTTATTCACCCAGATTTTTTTTTGATCCGAGGGCTGGAGCACCTCTCCTATGGGAAAAGGCTGAGAGAGTTGGGACTGTTCAACCTGGAGAAGAGAAGGCCCTGGGGAGACCTTAGAGCAGCCTTTCAGTACCCAAAAGGGGCCTACAAGAAAGCTGGAGAGAGACTTTTTACAAGGGCATGTAGTGATAGGACAAGGGGTAACGGCTTTAAACTGAAAGAGGGTAGATTTAGATTAGATATAAAAAAGAAATTCTTTAGTATGAGGGTGGTGAGGCACTGGAATCCCCCCTCCCTGGAAGTGTTCAAGGCCAGGTTGGATGGAGCTCTGAGCAACCTGCTGTAGTGGAAGGTGTCCCAGCCCATGACAGGGGGATTGGAACCAGATGATCTACAAGATCCCTTCCAGCCCAAACCTTTCTACGATTCTATGAATTTGAAATGTTTATCATTGAATTAGGGCACTTCTCAGTTTTTTTCTACCTGCCTTGTGTTGCTCATGAGCAAATTAGACCCAGACACTGTTTTATACAGTTAATTAATTTGGAATAGCTGGAACATCTGAGAACCCTGGGAACTAGTGTTAGCGATGTGTGAACACAAGAAAACGAAAATCGTTGTCTAATGCTGAAGTCTAAAATTATTTATCTAGGTTTAGTTATATTTATAGCAATTTAAAACACCTAGAGAAAACATCTTGTTAAATATTAGGTATTCAATGCAATACTGTATCTTTCTTCCTTTATTTTCAGATGGAGAAAATCCTCCGAGAAACCATATGAATGAAGGGGGATATAACAAACCAGTTCATCACACTGTGATTAAAACTGAAAGTTCAGTAATAAAAACAGGAGTGAGACCAGAAACAAGTGCCAATGAGGATTACGTATCACCCCCCAAATACAAAAGCAGTTTATTGAATCGTTACCTGAATGACTCATTGAGACATGTCATGGCTACCAATGCAGCTATGATGGAAAAAACAAGGCAAAGGAATCACTCTGGTTCATTTAGTTCCAATGAATTTGAGGAGGAATTGGTCTCTCCATCATCATCAGAGACAGAAGGCAATTTTGTCTACCGGACAGGTAAGGGATTCTTTCTGCATCGTTTCTAATACAGCCACCTTTGGTGGGTGGTGTCCCCTGGGATGAATGCCACCTGACTGTGCCTTTTGTGAGAGCAGATCACTCCTGTCCGTTATGTCCTGTGAGAATAGATAACTCCTGACCGCCCTTCACTCGCTGGAGAAGTTCTAGCCTGGTATTGGCATTAAATGCTGTTACTGGCTGCTGATGAAGCTGGTTTGCTTTCTGAGTGGAGCCATGGGGCTGGTTTTTGAAATAACACTTACAGGCTGTTTTTGTCAGCACTAAGACAAGCCTCTTTAGAAGGAGAAAAACCTTGAGCATTCTGTTACAATAAGGGAGGACTAGAGGAGAGGTAGAGTACTCCATGGCCCCAGCTGGGAGGAAGAGGAGGCCTTTGAAATTGTTTGTGGCACTTACCTGGGCCATATGCACCCCAATGGAGTGCACATGAACATCTTGCCCTGTTGTACAGCATCTTTTCTGTCTTCATAGTGCCTTCTCCGGTACGCAGCCCTTCGGTGCTCATGCATCTCTTAGGGATGCGTGGATTCAGTTTCTGCATCACTCTCCAGACACAGTGCACCGAACTAAGGGGCCACGGACTTGGCCATTAAATATCTTGGCATAATGTTTTTTTGAAGAGTTACACATAATTTATTATTTTAATCTTATCAATAAGAACATAAAAGCATGATTTATATCATCCATTGTGTTACCAGTCAGAGGAAGGCACATGGGACTGCCTGGTTGATGCCAGTAAATTGCCGTAAATCAGGGCAAGATCAGGACCTGCTCGGGTCCCTGTGGGGCAGGGAATGCTTCAAGGCTCCTCTTGTGAAGCTTGTTCTGTGTTTCTCTGGGGACGTAAGGCAAAGGCTGTCCTCTTACCTTTGAAAAAAACGAAGTTTTGCATCCCAGGCTCTGGAGGTCTCTGCCAGCACCTCAGGGTTTCCATCCATCGCAGCAGCCCTTTGCATTGTCCCGGGCCCTTTCTTGGGGGGTTATACTGCCAGAGACCACCCTGTGGGCAGTGTCGCTTTCGGGGTGGAGAAGTGCTGGAGGTCTTTGCACTAAAGTTAATAGAGATTGAGTTGTTGTACTTGGTTCCCCTTGGCTTCCCTGGCAGGCAGGTTTGGTGCCCCTCGCCTTTGCAACCTTTCAAGTTTGCAGCCTTTTCCCTCTCTTTCCTGGCACATTTTATGTGATTTTTTTGTCCCTGTGGAGGGGCGACAAGGATTTCAGAAGGCTGAATGCTCTGGTGGGGGTAGGAGGACATTGGTGCATGCAGGTCATCAGGGGATGACCAAGGGGGGAGTAGGGACTCCACAGAGAAACGGGATCTTGTGGGGAGCAAGAGTAGTGCGTGCATGATGAAAAAGTTTCAAAATTAACTCTCTCTGTTCATTTAGCTTTTTTCTGCCCAACATACCAAATGCATTTGGTCTGCATTACAGGCGTATTGTCTGCCAAGTTTTATTTTTAAGTGAAAAGTTACTCAAGAACAGACGAAGCAACTCAGATGTGTAAACTTCTGTTTTTCTGTACTTTTATACCATAACTTAAAAATGGACACAATGACTTTTTAAAAATTGTAATAAATTTGCTACTGGATTAAGTTCTTCTTGCCAAGTTTCAAGCTGCACTAAGAAGTATGGTCTTTAATGAGAAGGCTGAGACAGGCACACTGTAACTGTGTGAGTTCACAAGCTGGGCTGGAATGACTGAAAACCAGTATATTTGTCCTTAAAGATTGTAACTGACATTCTTGGAACTCCTCTTGAGATCGTATTTAAGTCAGTTCTTAAATATCTTTGTTAATATTTTGAAGTACTGTGACCTTTGATGAGAACACGCCAGCAGCTCTCAGGATACAGTTTTATTCTTTTTATACTTCCAAAGCAGACAAACAGTAGCCTGCTGATAGAAGGAAAAAGATCATGTGGGCACACTGTATTATTTGCTATAGCCTTCCTATGTATGTGTGCACATTCAGGAAATAATAGGTATAAATAGGCTTTTTTCAGCTATAAGATTACAGTCCCATAAATGATTTTTTGATGATGTTATAACATGCAGGAATTGAGCCCTCCACGAAAAAAGCAAATATTTTCAAGTTATCATCCATTCAGGAAATCTGTTTAGAAATAGATTAAATTATCCAAATGACTGTTAGATAGGAAGAGATAAATTATGAATTTTTTTAATGTCTTTGTAATTTGAATACCTGGGGTGGTGGTTCTCAATGCAGTCATGCAGCAGACCTGTATCTGTGTTCTCAAAAATAGCTGCAGTCCATTTTGGTGAAGGAAAATACCAGGGTGTGGCTGACTGTGCCACTCGTACCTTCCTGAAAGCAGCAAGTGTGTTTTCAAGTGAGATATCACCACTTACAAGGAGCAACCTACTGCAATTTTTTGAAACAGCTGATTTTTAACACAAAGAGGTTGAAGCAGAGTTGTGAAGTCCCTACTAGATATTTTAGTTTAGGAAGACATTTTGAGTCATATTTCAAAAAACACAGGATGAAAACTGATGGATATTTTATTTTTGAGAAGCGTTTGGCAAGGTTGTTGTGCTCCTAAGAGCAGGCAGTCATTGGTGGTGAAGCAAATTCTTTATTGTACTTCCCTGGAAAAACAACTTTTCGCAGCAGATTGCAAGTAGAAAGCTTACTCACCACGTCTGGTTCGTGTTACGGGCCGGACCCTGATTTCAGGTACATCAGTGTGTCCAGAGCGACTTTGCTCGCCCAGTGCCTGGGGTCAGCGTGGCCACGTGCTGCACCAGATTAACAGGGCACGAATGCCGCGTCCGATGACAAACACAAGAAATGGCAGTTTAAAGTTGATAAGGAAAATGGGTTGCACGGTTTCCGTCTGAGTCATTAACATGCTTATAAAGAGGGGGCCGTGTGCTACGCTAGCTTCATGCAACTGGGAGATCCCGTGTAGGGGTGAAGGGCAGGCTGTACAGCCAGCTGTCGGGAGAGCGGCCTCGCGCTGCGGGCCGGCACGGGGACAACGGAGCGGCCGGTGCGGAGTGCGGCCGTGCTCGGTCAGATATGTCACATATGTGAGCGTGTCTGTCATAAGCCGATATGCTTATGTAAATAGCGTGATATACACGAGTGTGTTCACTTAAGGCTGAAAATTTCGTTTCGGATTAATCCTAGTGCAGGTACGATATATAAATATATATAATTGGTCAAATATGTGTGTTAAACTGACCGCTGAAAGGCTTGGTTCAGTGTTTTTGTTCAGTTAAAAATCCGTGTTGGAGAACAAGTTTTCATGAACTCCTTGGCGTGCTGTCATTCACAGCAGGTTCTCCGTGTGACAGGAATAACTAAAACCAGACTTGCCGATCTGTATGTGTTGTACAAACGCACACAGAAACAACAGTCTGACTGCAACGAGCGCTCCAGAAACCTGTGAGGAAAAGATCTGATAATGTTTATGCTGAGGCTGGAGGTAAATCTAAAACGGCAGCGTCGGTCTTTGGTTTACGGATCACTAAAATGCTGGCTTTCTCTGTCGTCGCGCTGCACTGCTCTGCGCGTACCCTATCGACCGTCACCTGCGGGAACGCAATGTTCTGCGTCGTTATAGCACGAGGAAACGAAAAATCCCAGTTTTCTGGGATATCGCTGTCTGGTGAGCTGCGTTTGGTGAACGAAAGCAAAAATTGAAATGAGAGAAAGGGAGACGAAATGGCAGGACGGGGAGTTTTCTAACTTTTTTCTGTGGGCAGATTTTCATTGATTTCACTTTATGTGTTACTTAGCACAGTAGAAAAGCCAGAACAAATGAAAAGAGTGAGGAAACTAAAGGCTTGCAGGCCTGGAGAGGAGGGTGGCTTTTAAAAAGCTCTTGAATGACTGGTTGATTTTTTAAGATGTTTGATCTCTATTTTTAGACATTTATACTCAGGAGTGTGCTCTGTTTCTGATGCTTTCCTTACTACTGCCTTTTTCTTTCCTCTCGCCTTCCTTGCTTTCTTTCATTTGGATCCTGTAAAGTTTGTGATTTATAAAGAATGATCCTGGGTCGTTTATGGCAGCACACCGAGCGCTTCTGATGAGACCCTCAGCACACTGCAGGATCAGGCCCGCATTCATACAGAGCACTTGAATGTAAGGGTATAGCCGGACACAGAAGTGCTACAGAGAGACACACGCAAGCTGCAGAACAGCGCTGTGATTTTGTGTGGTCCTTGCCAACTTTTCCTCACAATTTAACATTTTTAGAAATTAACATGTAATTTAAAAATGAGCTATAAAATTTAAAAGCATAATATGAACACAATGGAACCCCTTTTCAGAAACAGCTCGAGGGACCCGCAAAAACCGCTAGTACCAGTGACTTTTGCAAGTTTGATCTAAACGGTGCAGAAGACCTTGGGGATACTTTAAAATAAATGGTAACCTGGGAGAGCTGAAGGAGGTCCTTGTTGCAGAACCTAATGTCATCCAGAAGTGAAATGGAAAAGGGGAATGTCAAGTATAGTATTAAATGCACACAGCAGCATAACTGCAATTTGAAGGTTACACAGTTAAGATCATATTTCTGCAGGAATTTTATTATTACATGACCTGATTCGTCAACACTGAAATAGCATGGAATTGAGAATTGCAGAGAGGATTGCGTTTAATTTGCTGTTCTGTTTTTTTTTTCTAAAGAAAGATTAAAAGGAAACAGCTTTACTACAGGGACAGTGTCAGGTTTAATATACCAGATGTGATAGCCCATACTTGAGAATTTTAAAGATCCTGCCTGCTCCCTGCTAGTTAAGTTGCTTGTTCACTTTTTAAATTTCATTCAGTTTGAACAGCGAAAATCAAATAAGCTGCTTTTTCTTTCTAATTCCCTTTAGTTTCTCAGTTTCTCAGTATTTGAGTTGCAAGTGGAATGGGTTGGGATTATTTCCACATGACCCTGGAAAACGGTGCTTCGTCAGAACTGAATCTTTTTGTGTGGAAAGGTAGCATTTTCAACCAG